GCTTTTTTTCAATTTAGTCATATTTGACATTTTATTGATAACAAATTGTGTAATTTACATCGTGTATTTGCATTGACTAGACAACTGTTGATAATCAGGGAGTATAGAACAAGTTTTTTTGTCCTAAAATCAAACTTTTTAACGATACACACCTATAACCCCACAAGAAATCAAACCCAGGATTTAAAAATCATATAATAAACACCTCATCATTAGATAATTCAGTTGCCGAAAAAGTTAAGGTTAAAGCTTAACAAAATAATTACTCAACCGTATATTAAAATCTTAGCATCAGTTTCTTACAAGAACTGTAAATTTTAGACATAAACGTTAGTAGAGATTTAATCAATATTTTGATATCACTAGTGCAATATTTAAGTTTGACAAATCTTAGTTTATTTACAACTATGTTTAGGAATTGGGAAAATTTAGCTTTGTTTTTCACTGAAGTTCTTTACTATAGATTGTGTCCTTCTTTAAATTTACAATGTTACCAGCCGTACTGGTTTTTTACATAGCTGCTCATGTTATTCAGCGTTTAGTGAATGAACAATCGAATGGAAAAGACCAATTTATTGTTTCATGCAAAATTACAGAGTGCATTTGTAAAATGTAAAAATTATACATTAAATACGTTAGTTGCACATAATCCTTCAGTTGACGTTTACATGCTTCATGATTCTTTTAATTCTGTTGTTATTACAGTTATTTTCCATTTCCTTTCCTCATCTCTTCAATTCAATCTTTTCAATCTTCTGCTTGTATGCATTCGACTTTCGATTGTGGTTACACACTACTTATATCTATCAACATAATTAACATGCACCACAAACATATATCACTCATAGATTCAAAAGACAAATCCATGTATTTTGTTCAAATCATTTGCAATCTCTCCAGCTCATCTGTAGCGTTTTTGAAGAGGTACCGTTTTTAATTATTTTTGTTGGCAAAATGAATGTTTTGATAGAAATTTTAAACAAAAAATACATTACTTACGAACATTGGCCTACGCATAACTACAAGCGGTATTAATGGATAACTATTATCACTTATAGAACATAAAGGGAAATTAGACAAGTCTCAGTTTGTGTAGAATTAATTTTGGTTACTCTCAAATGACTATTATATTTTCACAATTTGTTATCATATTCACATTAGTTAAAGTGTTAACTATACTGATTATTTATCTTAACATATGATGATTATAAAAGTCAGGAGTGTAACGTTTTATTATCTAATACAGCCTCCAAACAATTTTTGTTAATAAATGAAATGTAGGATTGAATGCGAAAATGTACTGTATAGGTAATAAAGAATTAAAAAATAATTTAATAAAAATGTATATTTCTTGAAATAAGTTTAACATAGAACAAGCACAGTCATGAACCGATATCATAAGTCTATTTTTTTCATTAAAATAAACTAAATGTATGAATGCAATACTACTGAAATTCAATGTAAGCTACTTATTTCATGATGACGCAGTTGTACTTATTTCATCTTTAGTATATTCAACTGCATACGTTGTAAAACATTTTCCTCATAAAAAAGAAAAAGAAAAAAACTATTCAAAGAAAGATGAATAGGATTTATTGACTGAACATAGTTAGAAGGTCATTGTAAATGTTCATGGAAATAGTCAATCATTCATTATCACCAATGTAAGATCTGACAAATATTTTTTTAAATGTAACATATGAACTTAACTTTTTATAATTACAAATAATAATAATAATAACAGTCCAATTATTCTGTTTTCATTTTATTAAAGGAAGGAATTGGATGGTGAATAGAGAAAAGATTAGTTGCTAACTGTATTTTTTTTATTGATTCACTAAGCTTCCTTAGTAGGCTATTACGCAACTGTAATGAAAAATGTCTATTTACTAATGAATTTCTATAAAGTATTTAGCTAATATTTGTCAATATAAATTAGGTGAACCAATATTTAATTAACTTTGGCTTTGAATTGATCAGTTATTGATATTATTATTAGGCTGTGAGTGTACTCAGAGTTAGTATGTTAGAGTTTAGGTAACTCTTACAAGTGAGTCGACTAATATTGAACTGATTATATGACAACTAACTTATTGAGTAGTTATGAAATTTGTGTATGTAGTGGTGTAGCTTTTATGTTTAGAAGTTAGTTATTTTCATTACTAAGTAATATTACATATTAGTTTATTGGGTATGTCGATAGATATGAAATTCTGGATGAATGCTTTGCCCTGAATAGCTCTGTGAATAATAAATCGAAGTTAGAAGTGAACGTTGCTGAACTAAAGTCCTTATATGAATGAGAACACTGGGAAGCAGGTAGATTCAGAAAGCGAGTCTCAAAAAGTAAGAAACAAGTGTTCTGCATTAAATTGCTGGTTTCACATCAAATATACTAGGGCTTGTGATATAATTCTATCTTGAGGCAGTTTATGCATATTGTTAACATGCCAACAGAAACTGATCATTTGTAGTTTTGAATATCAACAACAAGAACCACAAACCCTCAAGAACTGCATAATATTTATTTGAGATGAAAAATTACTTATTAATGGTACTGGATACATCAAAGATTATATTTGAATCAATTCACTGTTTGCCGAGTAGTTTTAATCGTCATTCTAAGTGAACAAATTAATAAGTGCAAATCTGAATATGCGATACAGAAAGCTGTCCACCTAGTTACTTTGTACAGCGTTCTTTTGAGCTGAGAAGTAGTCTTATGAATTCAGGCCTTAGTGAGAATAAAGTATAGCTGTTCAAATACTTTAAAGGAAAATCGTTGTTTTATTCGAATTGCTAATACCTACCTACCTTGGAATCAGAGGTAAAAGATATTGGGTTTTAGTTTTTATTTTTAAAAAAGTACAAATATCAGTGATTCAAGATTGATTTCTTAGATCTAGGGCTAGTATTTCTACTGTTTTATTTGGTACATTGTACAGAAACAAAATATTCAAGTCTCATATGTTATCACTATGTGATTTACATCAGTTTGTATTGAAAAATAGATTTCCAAGAATGTTAACAATTTTCTTTTCAGGTGTTTAATGAAATTAATATAGTTATGAAATGGCTTCTGTATGTTAGAATTCCCTATGAGAAAGCCTATAGAAACAGATATACAGAAAAGCAAGGTATTTTTCGAAACTTTAAATCTGTTAATTAAAAATTTCTAAATAACATAGACTGATAACCAGCTATATATAGAAAATTTCTAATCAAACCTTCAGCTGAAAAATAAATCATCCTCATACTACTACCCATAACTTCCGTGTTCAATTAAGTAAAGAAATATATGCTCAAAACCATTACTGTAGAAACTGACATACCCTAGTTAGGTAGTGACAAGTAACTGATGTCAATTATTTAAGATTTTCAGTGTTGAATGAAAATAGTTGAAAATAGTTAAGTCTAACCCATTCAACTGTTTAGATTTTAAACGATTCGACAATAGTATCTCTGCTCTCGATTCTAACACTTTATGAAGCATAGTAAATTCGAGGCTTTAAATATGCCTTTTTTAATGACTGTTAGATAAATTCAAACTTATATTCATTACCTCTGAATGATTACACTCAACTGTTCAAGTTTTGATTTCCGACTGTAAAACTTTTTCAGTAACAAAATATAAACTTATACGTATAATTTGTGAAGATTTTAAAGATAATCATACCATATAAAATAAACACTTAAATTAATATATATTTATATCCTGATGGGAGACGGAAAAGAAGAAGAGCAATTAACACACTGTGTCCAGAATTGGAAGCAGACATGAAAAGGATGAAAAACAACTGAAAACAACTAGAAAGGACTGCCTAAAAAAGAGTTGGAGGGCGAATGTTGTTGGGCAGCCTATGCTCCTCTGTAAAGGGTAACAAGCATAAGTAAGTAAACAAATAAGTAAGAAAATAATCTTACTGGGACATTTTCATTCTTAACATAATATGTATATATTTCTTGGCTATACGGAAATTGTAACCTCCTTTATGTGTTCAAAAACAATTTGTCCTCACAATTAACCTACCCTGGTAATACTGATTTATTATCCAGATTAGTAACCACATTTCTTTTTGTGTACTTTAATATTAATTACATTTTTTGTTATGGCTTACCTTTAACCTGTCTAGTTGGCCTTTTAGTCTTTCATATATAAATGTTCTTAACAATTCTCTTACGTGTGATCGGATTGTTCACAAATGTATTGTGCAAATATATCATGTAATTCTCATAAACTTCGTCTTCTCATTGCATTATCGAAATTTATCAAAGGGACTAATTATTTTAAAACATTTACATGAAATTGTAATAACTATCTAGTTTAATTTATCATTTAATAGTTTTTATAGATTGTTTCATTAAAAATAAACATTAGATACACAACAGAAGATATTTGAACTAACTATTATGGTGGAGAAGATTTCTAGTTCAGGTGTATGATTTTGATGGAGTTTTGTTCTCTGAGCTGAGTGGTTTGGTCGTGGAGATTTCATTGTTCTTCTGAACGACATCATCAGCACAAACTTCAAATAGAAGTGAAGTGTTCAAAATTCTCCATATGCGTTTCACAGCTTGTACTGTACATAGCTGTTTGAGATAAAAATTCACTTATTTATGGTACTGGATACAATTAAAAATTATATTTGAATCAGTTCGCTGTTTGCCGGGTAAACCTAATCGTCAATCTGAGTAAACAAATTAATAAGTGTAAATGTGAATATGAGATATAGTAAACTGTTCACTTAATTGCTTTGCACATCGTTATGTACAGAACAAGCTGTGAAACGTGTATGGAGAAATTCGAACACTTCACTTCTATCTGAAGTTTGTGCTGATGATTTCGTTCAGAAGAACGATGAAAGCTCCACGACCAAATCATACAGCTCAGAAAAACAAAACTCCATCAAAAACTAACTATTATATTACGCAATCATTATTCGATATATATATATATATATATATATATATATATATATAGTTAGTATTATTTCTCTTACCTATTGTTGTTATAATAGTGACAGCAAATAAAATACTTCCTTCAAATGTCCAATTAAAATCATCTGTATGCTCTGAACCATTCCATCCTTCATCTTTTATAGCGATTATAATTTGTTCAACATATTTAGCTAATTTATATTGTAAATTATTTTCAATTTGATAACTTTTATTTAATATAATTGGTAATATATCATCTAATTTTGTAAGTAGTATAATATGTTTTGGTAATGAATTAATTAAATTTTTAGAAAAATATAGATGATCTATTTGAGTATCATTTTGGAATTGCAAATTGAATGTATTATTATTATTATTATTATTATTATTATTATTATTATTATTAGATATTGATATTGGTAATTGTGTCCCATTATTTATTGATTTTATTGAATTGGTTACATTCAATAAAGATGAGGTAGTTACATTATATTCATTTGAATTATTCATAGAATTGATCAATATAGAAGATGAATTATCTGTTGTTTTATTGATTAATTTATCTGTTATTATGTTACTAGGTAATTCGATTTCTTTTTGTATATTAATATGAGTATAATTTTTATAAAACCACCATTGTGGTAATATTCTTTTTGGCCATCCTAATGTTGATAAATACCATGATAAACCATATAATTGTTGTTTTTGTTCATCTTTTAATAAATTTGTTAAATATTGTTTATTATTATAACTATTTATTTTAGTTAAATGTTCAATAGAATCATATAAATTTGAATGAATATTAAATTTTTTACCAAATTTGTTTGTTCAAATTGTTGAATAATATTTACATGATTCAATATTGTATGGAATAATTCTAATTGTGAATTTCTCCATTCTAATATTAAATCTTAATTAAAATGGTACGTTTTTCAAACATTTTAAGTTTTATTTGTGATTCATGTTCACGTTCTACAGCGTAAAATATTGAACCACCAATTATGGTATAAATAATAACTAGAATAGCTAAACCAACATGTGATAATAAAAAGGTGAATAAACGTTTTAAACATAAAATTGTCTCCGTTTTTCTTGAATTTATATTATTGTTGCTAACAGAAGTATGTATTGTATCATCTTTGTATAATGTTTTAGTATTATATGAAGTTATAGGTACATTAAGTATACTTAAATTGTTATTGTTAATAATAGATGTAGGATTGAATGAAGATTGTTGAGTTAAATAGGTACGTTGAGATGGTGACAATATTGAATTTACATATGACATATTTAATAAATTTACTTGATGATTGTAATTATTATTGTTACTTCTAAATGGATCTGTAATGTTTGAACACGTTTGATGCACTGAAACATTCACCTTTTGATTTGAATGTAAACTTGGATATAATAAATATGATTCATAATTTCTAGAATTTGTGCTCATATACAAGACTGTGTGAGAGAGAGAGAGAGACTCCGGTTATTTGATATAAGTAAAATAGATTCCACTTTAATCTATAAAATTAAGTAGAATTATATCATTTGCTAATAAGTAAATGGTGTTTATTTTTCACTTAATTTACTGTATTTAATAATAGTGATATTCTGAGGAATTTTTTTTATTTAGGGAAAGTTTCATTTGAGTCAACTAACCAATCAAATAGCAGTAAAATATTTGGGCCAATCAAAATAATCACGAATAATAACCGATATTTTCGTATATATAGAATAAAACAAATATAGACAGTGGATTGTAAAAAAAATTGTCACTTATGCATTAAATATTAAAATGTTCTTATACATATAAACAAACAGATATCAGGGAAGGGTTTTGTGGATGTTATAGTAATGAAATAGTTGAATTCATGACTCAATTAAAGCTAGACCACCATGTAAAAACTGAAAGCACTGAACAGCCATTTTGTCCTGTTGTGAGACTCCTCAACAGCGCGCATCCATGATCCCGCCTGACGAGATTCGACCCCAGTTGATTGTAAACGGGAAAATTGGCAATTTCTTGTTTATCAGTATAAGAAATAATAAATATGATAATAAACGTCTTATTGTTCCCCCGAGAAAAAAGTTTAAAACATACAAACTGATTTTTAATGATAAAACAATAAATTACTTATACTGATTACCTACTATTTCTTGTTTAAATAATGATAACCATCATGCTTTCGTCTTAAGATTTCAGGCTATTTAAAGTGTAAACTAATGATGAGAGTGTCCAGTTTGTTGATAATCCATCTATAACATAAAATTTATAAGTATCTGCCTGGTTGGGATCCGTGAGATGGTAGCAACCGATGGTTAGAGAACTTGAATGACATGGCTCAAAATCGTTTGCAATGGTGCATGTGCATCCACTCTTTGTGTTCTCCTAAATTCTAATCTTCTGAATTCTTCATGCCCATTTCTGTTTTTCTTTCCAAATTTATTTCACTGGATTATACTCCTTGAATAACATCTTCAAACCGTAATGTTTCCGATTACTGCTTATATTCTTACTATCTCTACCAGAATGGGATTTGAATGGACAATTGTATGTGTGTGCTAATGTGGTGTGGCAACTCGAACTGATGTACGTACTTATGTATGAAGTTCTACGTTGTTACTGACTGAATAATTCTATTAGTTAATGATTAACACCCATTACACTTAAGTCACATGTTATTACTAACCCAAATGATAACGAAACCGTGTAGGCCAAAGATGTTTTTACAACACAATATTTAATGAGTTTATTATCAATCTATTCAATTTCATGAATGTTTATATATATTTAGTCGCCATTGTCTGACTCCGATATGATTGGACGATGATGATAGTATAATATATAGTTTATATAACATGCAACCTCTGTCAACTAACCATATCAAAACATTGTAAAAATAAAAATATCAATTATGAATTGCATTTAGAATATGTATTTTTCAGTCACTCCAGTGATCAAACAATCTAAATGAATGAGTATAGAAGTTAAATTGATACAGAAAGGAAAATAATCAAAACACACTGAATGAATGATCGATGATTTATTCTTTATATAATTACTATTTGGAGTGTAGACGTCAGACACAAAAAGCAAGCACAGATAAAATCTGTCTAAAGCTAACAGTAACTAATCAACAAGAATACATTTGTAAAAATGGACAATAAATAATATAGGCAAATGGAAATATTCATTGATGAATAAATGTGGGACAATCTCAAATGCGAAACTAATGAAATAATAATAAACTAAGATCATAGTACACAACGTTTAGGCTACCTATTTTGGATAACAATCACTTCTAATACATTGTACTGTCTTAATGAAAATTGTTTGACTGAGATCATGAACCGATTGATGTAAGACCACCGTTGGGAACCTCGAAGCACTCTCGAGGAGTCTCACAACAGGATGAAACAGACGTCCAGTGGCTCCGGGTTTCCAATCAAAAACTTAATAATCTCCACAACACCTATACGGTCAATGAAAATTTGTTGAAAATAGGGCTTTTCATTGAATTTCATGTATTACCATCTTAATAGAAATTATAAATCGATAATTGATTTTCCTCTGATAGCTTGTATGTATATGGTATTATTTTTATTACACATATAACTCATTGATAGAATTCACTGTAGTTACTCGAGTCAAATGTCTCAGTGACTTACATCAGAATCACTTACCATCATATCAGTTTTGAAAACGATCTAGTATGTTTATGACAACAATTTTAATTACTATCATTAATGCTCTTCTTTCCTTCTTTTTTTAAATTCTTTATCTATTCCTACTGAAACGAAACTCCAGATCAATTTAATTCGATAAATCAACAAACTGAAAAATCACCAGAAAGAGATTGTGTGGAGATTGTAATAATTTAGTAGTCGAATCTAATTTTCCCATGGTGATCTAGCTTTAATTGATTCATGAATTCAACTATTACATTAAAACAAGGTTTTACTAGTCTTATAATAATAAAATTCACTGACAAATGGGTTTCTCTGTTCTTCATTTTTGTTGTTGTACTGAAATGAAACGTTCTATTCAAATATTTCCTACTAACACATAAATCTTTATGTAATTCATGTTAAATAAAGAAATTCTATCAGAAGGGGTTTTGTGGAGATTGTATTACTTTCAACAGCTGAGATCATGAATCAATTGAAGCAAGACCATCATGGAAAACCTGGAAGCACTGGACGGCCGTTTCGTCCTATTGTGGGACTCCTCAGCAGTGCGCATCCACGACCCCAGGACCAGGACCGATCAGTCTCACGCCAGCCACTTAACCAACTAGACCACTGAGCCGGCATCCAACTGTGTCAATGTCTAACTTCCACTAATCCACGAAATTGAGCGACACATCCACCATTGTCATCAATGAGTTACTACCTCACAACTGACCCTGTTAAACTCCACTGGTCACTGCTTCTCACTAGAACTCCAGGAAATACCTCTTGAAGCCAGTCACTAGTGCGCATATACTGATTAGAATCAGAATGGGTTTTGTGGAGATCGTAGTAATTTCAACAGTGGATGCGCACTGCTGAGGAGTCCCATAATAGGACGAAACGGCCGTCCAGTGCTTCCAGGTTTCCCGTGGTGGTCTGGCTTTAATTGACACATGATCTCAACTGTTGAAAGAAATTCTAGTTTTACGTAAGACCTAAGTTTTGAACAATCCTTTAGAACATTAAATTTACCAAGTATAATTCCTTAACGACATCAAATTTCCCTTCAAGATTATTTATGACGAATGAATGATCTATTAGAGTTCTATCTTGATTGCCAATATAAAAAGAGAATTATAATGGAAAAAAAAGTTGACCATTTTGTTTATATTATAGAAGCTTTTTTTTAAACTACGGGGAATTTGCATTCTGTTATCAACAAACTATTTTACAATAGACAGTTAGCAACTGACAGTCACCTAACCAATATTAACGTTTTACATATGAAAATTGATTAACGAAAGTGGATTATTGATTAATTTTCTAGTCAATGAATGCATTTGATAAACTATTTTAATGTAAATACGTTTAATGGTTGAAATCATGAGTCAATTGAAGCTACACAACCATGGAAAACCTTGAAGCACTGGACGGCCGTTTCGTCCTAGTACGGGACTCCTCAGCAGCGCGCATCCACGATCACGCACCCTGCGAGATTCGTACCCAAAATTTGACTTCAAGAGATACTCCTGGAGTTCTAGTGAGAAGCCGTTACCAGTGGAGTTCAACTAGGTCTGTTGTGAGATATCAGCTCACTGAAGACAATGGTGTATAGTGGCGCAACTTCGTGGATTGGTTGATGTTAGACAACAACACCGTTGGATGCCGGCTCAGTGGTCTAGTTGGTTAAACGCCTGGAGCGAGACTGATTGGTCCTGGGTTTGAATATCACAGGGTGCGGGATCGTGGATGCTCACTACTGAGGAGTCCCATACTAGGACGAAACGGCCGTCCAGTGCTTCAAGGTTTTCCATGGTTGTGTAGCTTCAATTGGATCATGATTTCAACCAGTGGAATTTCTAAAATCTCCACAAAACCGCTTCTGATCAATACGTTTAGTCAAAATATTTAGTTTCTAATGTTGATCAATATTCATCTGAAAGTTGCATAATGTACAGGTAACTTGAATAATTATGTGTTTTTAATTGAGTGTTGATTGAACTGTATAGATCATGATAGATTGTGTGATCCATGAAGTTTAGAGTTATTTGTCAGTTTGAAGCAAACTAACTCCAAGTTGAATGTTATAGCAGAAACGTTGTCAACTAGAATTATTTGGAGGACGTGATTCTTAAATGGACATACTGTTAAGGGATTATTTAGAAGTATTCGGAGTGTACATCAATGGTGACCATTCTTCGAAATTAACTTCTTTTGCCTTCCATAAAAAAATATCGTAAAAAGAAATATGTAGAAGAATTCGTGATTTAAGTGTAGTTTTGTTCTCTATATTGGATGGTTTTGTCTTGAAGCTTCCATTATTCTTTTCAAAAACAAACTTCAGGTAGAAGTGAAATGTTCGAATATGTGAAGAAACTTGAACTTTTCACTTCTACCTGAAGTTTGTACTGATAATGTTTTTGAAAAGAATAATGGAAGCTCCATTTGTCAATAAGAGATTAATAATTTGTAGTCTTAAACAACAATGGGAAGATACAAGCAAACAATACCAAGTGAATTTAAAGTAGACTTATGTTTCAAATAAGATTTTCGATGTATAAAATCTTATTTATTATGGTGTTTTTTGGACAGATATTTGCATTGAAATTACATTCTTTCTTGTCAGAGAAAAAGAAAGAATTAATCAAAGTTTTATATTTCTGCGAATATACCAAGTATCGATTATTATTATTATTATAACTATTATTATTCAATTGGTATGATCATTAGAATGAAACATGAAAACTGTTCGGGTTTTGACAATTCAATTTATTTGAA